GTCCATGGTATATTTAATACACTTCTCCAGCACCACAGCTCAAAGGCATCAATTCTCCTTCTATCCTCCTTAGTCACTGTCCAACTCTCTGATGTATAACAAGTGATAGCAAAGACCATGGAATGTATCATACACACCTTAGTCTCCAGAGAGACACCATTGCTCTTCAGTACTTTGGAGAGTTCCAGAACAGCAGACTTTCCCATCGCAATGCATCTTTTAATTTTCTGGCTACTGGTTCCAAGAGTGTTGACTGTGGAACCAAGCAAAACAAAGCTGTCAACAATCTCAATCTCTTCACCATCCATCCTGATGCTGCCAATTGGTCCACTGGTGAGAGTCTTTGTCTTCTTGACATTGAGCCTTAATCCATATTGGAGGCTGCAGTCCTTGACCCTCTGCAGCAAGCGCTTCAGGTGCTCCTCAGTTTCAGCAAGCAGGGTTGTGTCATCTGCATAAAGCAGACTGTTAATAATTCTTACATCAATCCTGATACCACACTTCTCCTCATGGAGCCCAGCCTTCCGGATAATCTGTTCTGCATATAGGTTGAAAAGGTATGAAGACAGGACACATCCCTGGCGTACGCCCTTCCAATTTTGAACCCTGCAGTGTTTCCTTGCTCTGTTCTGAAGACTGCCTCTTGTTTCAAGTATAGGTTTAGCATTAGCACCACGATCAAGTGTTCTGGGATTCCCAGAAGTTCAAGCTGCTCTGAAGTAATTGGTAAAATAAAAGGCACAGAAATAGATGGAATATCAATTGGAATATTTTAACAAACAGATGCAGGCTGGACATGTTCAACAGGTTGTGGCAAGAAATCGGGAGGACAGCTACCTGGCCAATTGACTGGAAGAGATCCATATTCATTTTAATTCCACAAAACAGAGATCCAGTGGATATTGAAATTATCAAACTATATCACTAATATCATATGGAAATAAATACTCCTGAATATTATCCAAAAATTACTCTAACAGTGCAATGACAGAGAACGGTCAGAAATATAAGTGGGATTTAGAAGAGGCTGTTGCAGTGCTAGGGATATCATTGCTGATTTCAGATGGATCATGGCTGAAAGTAGAGGGTATCAGAAGGATGTCTATTTGTGTTTTATTGACTTTGAAAAGGTATTTGACTGTGTGGATCACAACAAATTGTGACTAACATTAAGGAGAATAAGAATCCCAGAACTCCTAATTGTGCTTATGCAGAACCTATACATTGGCCAAGAGCTGTTTTTGAAACAGAGCAAGGGAACATTTCATGATTCAAAATAAAAAAAGGAGTGCAATAGGGATGTATCTTTTTTTCCCCATATCTTTTCAGTCTACTTGGGGAACAGATCATTTGGGAGACTGGACCTTATGAAGGAAAACGTTCATCAGGATTGAAGGATGATTCATCAACAACCTATGTTATGCAGATTATACAATGTTGTCACCAAAACTGAGGAGAACTTGGAGTGTTTGCTACAGAAAGTCAAAGACTGCAAAGACATCAGTCTAGAAATTATGGTGTGCCTGATCCAGGCCATGATCTTCTCAATTGCTTGCTATGCATATGAGAGCTAAAGAATGAAAAAATATGATAAAAGAAGTATTGATTTCTTTGAGTTGTGCTGCTAGATAGAAGTAGTAAACATACTATGGACTGCCAAGAGAACAAATACGTTTGTCATGGAGAGGGTACAATCAGTTTGCCCCTTGGATGCAAGTATTTTGAAGTTCCATCTTCCGTCGGGTGTATTGCAAGGAGGAGCCTGTCTTTGGAAAAGAATATCAATCTTAGAAAGGTAGAGGGTAGCTCAGAAAGGGAAGACATTGAATGAGATGGATTGACACAGTGACTTTGGCAGTGGGGTCACAAAAAGTGAGATTGGCTCAGTTGTTGTTGTTGTTGTTGTTAGGTGCCGTCGAGTTGTAGATGACTCATAGAGATCCTATGAACGAAAGGCCTGAGCACCATTAGTACATAGAGAGTTATTGTTTTTTAGGATCACTGTAAGTCGTATTCAACTTGGTAACACATAACAATAGCATGATTCATTTACATTGTTTTACACAAAGATTAATTTACAACGTGTTTCATACAATCATTAACATGTTGTATTTTATATAATTATTGAATATCTTTGCCTTTTATTACCCCATCTTTTCAAGGTCTCATTTTATCTCTCCTACTTCTTCATGGCCCTCACCTTCTCACTAACCCCTGCTATCCTAGTGATATTCACCCTTCTCATTTTCCTCCTCTGATTTCTTTTTTCCCTTCCTGTTTTCAACATGAATATTCATTTTTCCCAGATAACCTTCTATTTTTACAATAATGATCTTATATAGTATTTGTCCTTAAGAGACCAAGTTATTTCATGCAGTATAATACTCTTTATATCCTCCCATGTTCTACAGTATTTTATGAAATCATTGTTCCTTAGTGCTGCATAACATTCCATTGTGTATCTGCTTATGGGTATTCAGACTGTTTCCATTTTCTTGCTATTATGAATAACATTGCTATCAACTCTGGTCTACAAATCTTTATTTGTGTCTGAGTTCTAATTTCCATGGGATGTATTTCTAGCAGTGGAATATCCTGGTCTGTGGAATTTCAATTTTCAGCATTTTGAGGAAATGCCAAACTGCTTTTCAAAGTGATTGTATAAGATCAAACATGCAACCAAGATACTTTGATAATAATGGGTGACTAGAAGTTGGAAAGCATGGACTTGGCAACAGAAATGAGGCTGGAGATGAAATAACAGAATTCATTGCAAATACCTTTTGTTTTTAATAGCAAGTTTCTATTAACAATAAAGGCTTCCCTTAATTTACATAACTTACATTTTTAATATTAAATAGGATAAGATGTTCAATAAGCCCTTGTGTTTTTATTAATTTACAGTCTAGTCCAGTTTTGGCCTCTGAATGCAAATGCTTGCTGTATATTTTAATAGGCCAAAGTAAAATTATTAGCTATTTTTAAAAGATAACTATGTTTGAAACTTTTTTTCTCATTAGGACATTACATCTTTTCCAGAACAATTTACAGAAATTACACAAAACAACTGTTATCAAATAACAGTATTCAGCAATGTTTTGTTTAGCTGAAATGTTAGTTTCAGTTGTAAAAACCATCTCTAGGTACAAAAAATAATCAGAAACCTTATTGGCTTTAACTTGCTTTTACAAATGTCCTAAGAAATCTTAAGCTAAATATTACTCTCAATACAAAACCTCAATAATTTTTTAATAACTTGGCATCTGATCTCTGTAATTTGTGTACACGCATTAAGTCGTCTCTAACTAGGAAATCAGACTAGTTAACACATTAACTGTTAATAAAAATAAAGGCAACAACTAACCTTGTAACAGAAACAAAGCAACAATTTCAAGTATTGGCGGCATTAGTGCTGACACACTAACACAATGCTCTGCTACAAAGGAGGAGACAAAGACTGGATTGTTTTTTGATTGCAGCTGTCCTGTGGCCACTCCAATAAGGCTTTCCCCTAAAGGAAAGCTGCAGCACAATTCAATCAGGTTCAATCAGTGCATAACGGGAGCCAATCCTGGTGGGTGTCTTCCCCACCAACCCCTACACCCTGCACTGGTGCTATATTATTAAAAACATTTAAGTACCTGAATTTATGTTTCATCAAGAGAGTGTTTGAGTAATTTCCAATGATGTACAGCTCTTTGTGTAAAGAAAGTTCTGTGGTGGCAATTATGTAAAAAAAGTTATTTAAACAATGTGACACATCAGGTATTACCAATCACAGAGCCTTGATCTGGACACCTGGTAGTGTCTTAAGTTAGGCACACTGTGAAATGCTAATAGATGTGCCCAGCTGATCTGTGAAGTTTACAGAGCTGCAGAATTCAGGGAATGACTACTTT